GCCCCAACACTGGTCTTAGGAAGTTTTGGCACAGTCGGTCTTTCTCAAATGCTATGAGAAACCAAAAGACTTAGTTCTACAGAACTTACATTTCAGGAGACCCAATCACCCAGCTGCGGTCTCGACTCTTCAAGCCGCCAAGGCTGTCCAGCCGGTCATCTTTTTCTTCACTCAGACTCCGTTTAGTTGGTGGTGGAGTCTTCCTCTCTTCGTGGATGGAAAGACGTTCCATGCTGCTGTACACCTGTATATAGCAAAAGATCCTTCTGTACAGAGAAAACAAAACTCCATGGCCTTTTCTGCTCATCTCTTCTCAAAATGAAAGATATTCCGTGAAAGCATGGACTTGGCAATGTTCTTTGACTAAATAACACAGTGCGGATGTGACACGCTTGAAGTGGGCCAGGGAGGAAAGGAAAAACAAGCTTCAGAAACATGAAACATGCTTTTCTACAACAGCACCCAACACCTCTTCTCTGACAACAGCCCAGCACACCACAGAAATACCAAGACTTTTTGAAATGACTTGATTTTTGTTCTTAACGATTCTCAAATCTAAGAAGAGTTATTGCTAAAGTAGACTCCATAAGTCTTGAAGGCTGGTATCTGGATCTTGAAATCTTACTACACAAATTCAATTCAGTGATAGGCATCACGCTCATGACCCCATTTCATTATCATCAGTCTATCAGCATTGCCCCAAGCTTATTTCAGAACAAAAAAGTCCTGCCCTCCTCAAGGAATCTACTATAATGCTGACAGCTTAATGAAAGTGCCTTTCTTGGTTTTACAGCCGTCTTTAAATAATTAAATGATTAAGCAAAAAAAATCCATCCTTTTAAAACTACACTTGACTGTGGACCTAATTTACATAAGAAGAGATTAATGAAAATAATGTTATTAAAAATTCAGAGCATCAACAAGATAACTATTAATAAATCATATGGCTGAATTGTCAGACAAGAATTTCAAAATATAATGAGCCTTTTATGCCTCCCACATTACAAATGCTGTATAATTTTCCAGGTCTTAAAATAAATTCATTAAAAGTGAACTTTTTCTCTTTGTGGCAAAAACACTGAACCCTAAAGAAAAGCTTCATTCTAACAGATGAATAATACTCATGGTGAGAAAAGGCAGAAAAAAGAAACCCTTACATACTCATGAGAACTTTTTCAAAACCCCAACTAATCCTCAGGTCCAATTTTAAACATACTTTTGGTGATGCAAATCAGGAGCAACTCCATAAAATTAATGGTAACTGTTACTTAAGCCACTGTAGTCTGGCTGAGGACAAAGAAGAACAAACTGGTGCTTCAAAACTGACTTCAGTAGTGGAAATCTGGAGGATCTGTCATGAAAAACTGAAACATCTTTTAGAGGCTGTAAGTAAAATTCCTACTCCCATCTCATCAAGAAGAGTGAAATACCATTCATAGTGGGGCTGACATCAAAACAGCATTTCTTTTACTCAAAACAGCATTTTTTCTCCTTTCAGCCCCTCCCCAAACATATTTTGTTTTATCCACGCTAACAGCAGAGTTGTACTACTTTGTAATGTCCGTAATCCCAGCTTTTTATTATCAGATCACCCAGGAATGAGACACCTGCACAGACCTGAGTAAGGCATACCGAACCCAGAAAGCACGGCTGGAGGGGGCCTCTTCAGGGTTCCCTGTCCATTACCCCACCTCGAAGCAGAACCAGGTCTCTCGTAATCCCCTGACAGATGTTTCTCCAACCTGTTGTTAAACAGCCGCCGGTGATGGAGATTCTACAAATTCCCCAGGCAACCCACGCCAGCGCTTAGTTATTGTTCAACATTGGAAACTTTTTCTTAAAACCTGCCCTATACCTCCTTTGTGCCCGTGATTTCACACCAGTTTGGGGTAAATCGGGAAGACCAACGCACCCTTTCCTTCTAGCAGTTATGTATTTGAAAACGCATCAGGGTTTATGTTTTGTAGCTCTCAGATCATTCTTGTTGCTTTCCTCTGAACTCTCTTTTACTGGTCCATGTTTATTTTACGGAGCGTTACCCAGAACAGGACAGAGTACCCCAGCTAAGGCCTTCCTACTGCTAAGCAGATGGAAAGGATTTCTTCCATTTGCCTTGGGGAAAATATTCGTGCTCGCCCAATACAGTAACTGCCTTTTTGCTTCAGTAATTTGGCACATCTAACTCATGATGCACTATATGCCCGGATCCTTCGCTTTGAAACGGTCACCTTTTATTCCTTGGGCTGTATTTGAGACAATGAACAGCAGAGGTGTAAACTTCGCCTCTGCTCTTCCTGCATGGGATCCCTCCGATTTTAGACCATTATTCCAAAATGTCAGAATCAATTTTCATCCTAATACCATCTTGTCACCTTCCAGAAGACCCTTTCAAAATGACACTGTTCAAAGCAAATAAGTTTTGGACGCTCCCTGTGCCAGCATCCAAGTCATTAGTAAAAACATCAAACTGTCTCAGACGGAGGAGAGACCTCCGCAGTACCCTGCGTGCTAGTGAAACATTAAGAAATACAGAATCTCATTCTCCAATTTTTCTTGCACTCACCTTCTAACAGGCCACAAACTATCACAGAATAAACAACGTACACACCGTTTTTAATCTCCTCGTTGAATACTAAACACCATGCGACTCCCACATATCATCTGCATGATAAAAATCTACCCCATACAAAGCAATGAAACTGTGTTCCTCTCTGGGTTTTTTCTTTCAATAAGCTAGCATGCTCCTACCTTGCTGAACCTTGGTGAGCATGAGGAAAACTGCCGAATTTCCACGTGATCATCATCATTAGTGTCCTCCTCTTCTTCTGAATCCAGGTGTTGGTACCGTTCTGAACGGGCTGTGAACAAGATGCAGCACGTTTCATCAGTACGGAGAGTGTTGATAACTCTCACACCTCAAGCGTTCCTACTTGTCTACTTAGAAAAACTCTGAGTGTTCATACACCCATGCAGGGCATTTTCCTCAATACTGAAACACACCCAGCCAGTTCTGCTCATCCTGTACAATTAGCAGTGAAGAATACCTCCTTCGTACTGAATTTATCTTATATCATCAACTATATTATATTCTAAAAGCAGCTGATACTCAGCAGGTGTCTAACTCTGCAGACCCTTCGTGGTAGGGATATTTCTTCCCTACAGCAAACAATCATATGGAAGGAAACACGGAAACAATTCACCATCCCAATTTCCAATAAACAGCTTTACGATTTTACAAAGTCTGTCCTGCATACATACATACAAGCCTTCTTTAAAAAATAAAAATATTTACCCCCCAAAAATATTTCCTCTTCTCCCTCCTACAACTAGAAAAAGGATTAGATTTTGTGAAAGAAAATGGGCAAGCAGCCAATATGCAAAGCTATTTTTTAATGCAAAAATCTAAACTGCCTCCAAAGAGATTTTGTGCTTTGAGATTTGCAGCACTGGATTTCTAAGCCAGCCACATTTGATTTTGTGGGGCAGGCGTTAATAAGTTTGGCTACAGAAAGCTGATAGCTATACTGAGCCAAATTTGTTGCACTGTATCAGCCAGAAAGCTACTTTTGTAAATTCTAAAATTTTCTGCATTAGGGTTTATAACAGCAACGCCAACTCTTATCAGTGTCTCTGTGAGGTATTTCCTGACGTGAGAATTCCAGCCTTTATAAAGGACTCACATCAAAGTCACCCTGATAACCTGCTGAGCATGCCTGGGCACTTGGGGAGTTTGCCATCATTCCTACTTGACAGACGCAGTGATTTGCACCACTGAACATAACGTGGTGCTTTTACCCACCAGGATCCGCTCATGGCTGCTGCGTCAAGCCTCTCCCGATCACTGACCCAACTCAGTCACCAGAGCTCAAGTTCAATGTCCAGTCCAATGAGCGGGGGGAACACACTGCCACCTTGGTTTCTACATGTATGTTGTACCAATGTAACCCTAATATATGCAAAACACACCTCTGCCCCCTCTGCATGGCTTGACTCAAATTGCTCCCGCAGTAAGCAGGCGGAGATTTCTCAATCTCTCTCTCTCCATCCTACCTCTCCAGCCAACCCCTACCCTAAAAGCCTCTTTCCCAACTGGAAGAGCATTATCCAAACAGGATCTCTGCTTTTGCAGCCTGGCAGCGGCTGGAGGCAGGCTGCTCTCTCCCTCCCTTCACCCTGAGTAAAGCGCGGGAGCAGAGCAAAAATGTGCTTCATATGGAGTCAGAGGGCCCTGGGAAGATGGATGAGATTCCACTGAAGTAGGGCAGAAATTTCCATAGCTCAGGAAACTGAAATAGCCCAGTATCATCCTGTGCTGCAGCTGGAGTGGGGGAAAGACCCTCCCAGACCAGTAGGAAGCCCAAGCCCTTTCCACCCACTCAGGTCCCCAAGTCAAATGAGAAAAGCTAAGGAGCAGCGGCTCTGGGGACAGACACCTCTCCATCCCTCGCATGACGCTCCTCCCTTCTCTCCCAAGAACACCAACTCTGTCTGGTGCTTATCTGGAAATACCAGGAATCTTACATAGCACTGATACCGTGGCAGTTCCCAGACATTTATACACACCAGACAGGCACTTCACTTCATATCTCATTAGAGTTAACAATATTAAAAAAAGGTGATATGCTTGCAGTGAAAATAATTAAGTTACTTTAAATCTCTAAAGAATTTTCCCTA